AAAAAAAAAAAACATCTGTGGGAAAACTAGTTTATAATTTTGATAATTTTTCGATCAGAAAAATACTTTATTTCTTAAGTCACTTTGCTTCTCAAGTAAATGTGTTTTGATTTAAATATGCTTAGATAATTGTACTGAAAAAGACAAAAACAAAATAAGACAAAAAGAGTAAGAAAATGATACTTTCGCAGTGTGTAAAGGTAGTGTTTGTGAATCATGTTTTAATTGGGCATTCCGTATGAGGAGCTGTTGTGCTTTGGATGAAGATATGAAGAAATGAAGGCGAGTTTAATAAGTGCATAGCATTTGACAACTGATGAAGATGAAACCCTTGAAGTTCTCTCCAAACCAGTTTCCAGCTGTGAAGATGCACACAAAAAACTATATGTAAAACTACGTCTTCCCTAATTCTGCTGGCTTAATCGGTGGTATTAATCGTCCAGCCTTTACGTCAGGCCTTGTGCTGCTTGATAGGACACAGTTCTCTTATAAATCGACTTCGCCTTGAAATCATTGCCGTTGCCCATGTTAAAAAGGTGACTGACTCTTTCTGTCCCGTAATGTTTACATTCTGATTGGCCAGAGATCTTTGGAGATGGTTTATGAAAAGAAGTAAAACCTGTAGATGAGCTGCATATTTAAGCTAAAAGGTCACTTTGAAAAATAAACGATAACTGACATAAAAGCGTGTGTAAAAATAAATATAAAACTAAACTGAATTCGTTTATTCTAGTTAACAGAGATTAACCAATGCGAACTACTAACCTTCCGTATATGTCTAGGGGAACGCAAGAGGCGAAACGATTTGTGCACAACTGAGCTAACGTTAATTGTTAACTTTGCCAGTGCATTATGGGTGATGTAGTTTAAGACATGCAAGTTAGAGGTCAACGACGCATTTTCAGATTTCATCGACTGGAAGGATAAAACAAACTATGCAAATGAAGATTTTTAGGAAATCTCATCAGTTGGCTAATGGGCACCTTGTAGCCCCGCCTCCGATGTAAAATTGGCGTTTAACTCCACCCTCTTAATAAAGGCAGGAACTTTGCTAATTTTCGGAATATTCATTGGTGCTTTTTTCATGTTTACAAAAAACGACCATGGTAACCACAGTTTCCTCCAAAATTCCATAGTTGCTAAGCAACAGAAAGATTCCGAAAGCTGATTTTACTGTTACGTTTATCTCCAAATACAGTTACCATGGTAGATTTTAGCAAGGCTTAAACTGCATTTATCGATTATGCTGGTTATAGACGCCAATGATGAAAGAGATCAGTTACATCAAGGGATATATTCAGGGTTGTCGAGTGTGATTTAAGCGGTGCCATGCTGTTAAATAGTCATCAACAGGTGGTGTATCCAAATTTTGTGCTTGGCCCCCATATGTGGCTCTGGGGCCTTTAATAAATAAAAGTGACTAGCGCTGATAAAAGTCTATCGAAGCCGCCGAATCGAACGTCTTCACCTCCACCTACCAACCCACCAGAGACGGTCACATGAAAATCCCATCTCAGCTGTGATTGGCCAGCGTTCTGAGAGTGGCGGCGGCGGTGTGCAATGGGGTGTAGGCTGCAGGTTGAAGAGGCGGGGCTGAGAAAGTGGGCCGTCCTAGGAGGGTGGTTTGCTGTAGCCAAACAGTCCCACCGGGAGATACTTGACGTGAGTCGGCCACTGAGCGGCTAGCTGGAAGAACTTCACGTCGTTCCACTCGCATCCGTCGATGGTGACTGAGAAAGGAGGAAGAGGAATGTTGTTTTCTGCTTTAGCTAACAAGAAAGTGGTTTTCTGGCTGTAATGAAGGTCTGGTACCTTTCAGGATGGTCTGCTGCTGTTTGGCGG